GGCCATTTGAGTTTCCAGGCCACAACATGGCGGCCCTTTCTAATGTGGGTAGTCCAGAAGTCACATCTCGCGCGCGCGGGCGCGTTGTACGCTAAGCCACGCGACCGACATGCTACAAGCCCATGTTAACTCGGAATACAATCAGCCACCGTTAATTTGCCAATTCGATTTTCCATGCCAACATGGTGGCCGTTGTACGGTGGAAAATACAGAGTTCACAGCTAGCGCGCGCGTGGGCGACGTGTGCGCTGAGCCACCTGGCCGATACGCGGCAGCCCCCATGTTAACTCGGAAGTTCAATCGGTTACTGCGGAAGGGGCCACTTGAGCTTCCATGCCAACATAAAAAGGACCCGAGATTGCGGGTAGTACGGATTTCAGAGCTCGCACGCGCCGGGGGGGGCGCGCGCGCGCGGGCGCGCTGTACGTTCAGCCACATGCTACAAGCCCATGTGAACTCGGAATTCCAATCGGTCACCGCCCAGGGGCCGCATGAGTTTCCAGGAGACAGCGGCCCTTCTATTGTGGGTAGTGCAGGATGCACAGCCCGCGCGCGCGCGTGCACGCGTTGTGCGCTGAGCCACTTGGCCGACACGCAACAACCCCATGCTAACTTGGAAATCCATTCGGCCACCGCCACGGGGCCGCTTGAATTGCCAGGCCAGCACAGCGGTCCTCTGTCGTGGATGATACAGAGTTCACAGCTCGCGCCCGCGCGCGCGGGCGCGTTGTACGCTGAGCTACTTGGCCAACATGGCAGAACCACATGCTAACTAGGATATTCAATCTTTTACCGCAGCGGGCAACTTTTAGTTTCCGAGCAAACATAGCGGCCCTTCTGGTGTGGATAGTTCGTGAGTCACTGCTCGCGCGCGCGCGCGCGTGGGCGTCCTTTACGCTAAGCCACTTGTGCGACATGCTACAAACCCATGTTAAATTGAAAATCCAGTCGGCCATCGCTAGAGAGCCACTTGCGTTTCCAAGCCAATACGGCGGCCCTTCTGTTGTGAGCGATACAGAGGTCACAACTCGCGCCCGCGCGGGTGCGTTGTACGCTGAGCAACTTGGCCGACATGCGGCAACCCTAGGTAAACTGGGAAAACCAATCAGCCACCGCTAAGGGGCCACTATGGCTTCCAGGCCAACATGACGGCCACTCTATTGCGTGCAATAAAGAATTTACAGCTTAATCGGCACGCTGCAAACTCATGGTTACTCGAAAATCGAATCAGCCAACGATAGGGTTGCACTTCAGTTTCCAGGCAATCGTGGCGGCCCTTCTATTATGGGTAACCAAGTGATCCAGAAGTCGCAACTCGCGCGCGCGCGGGTGGGCGCGTTGCGCGCTGAGCCACTTGGCCGACACGCAACAAACCAGCGCTAACCTGGAAATCAATCCGGGTTTCCAAGCCAACACGGCGGCCCTTCTACTTTGGATCAGGGTTCGCAGCTCGCGCCCGCGCGCGCGGGCGCGTTGCGCGCTGAGCCACTTGGCTGACATGCTGGAAGCCACCGCAAAGGGGCTACTTGAGCGTGCAGGCCAACATGGCGGCCCTTCTACTGCGGGTAGTGCGAAAATTCACAACTCGCGCGCGCGCGGGCGCGCGCGCGCGAGGCGCCTTGCACGCTGGGCAACTTGGCCGACATGCTACAAACCCATGTTAAACATGGAAAATACCATCGGCCACCGCTAAGGGGCCACTTGAGTTCTCAGGCCAACGTGGCGGCATACGCTGCACAACTTAACCGGCATGCTACGACCTTTTGCTAACTTGGAAGTCCGTCGGTCACTGTTAAGGGGCCACTTAAGTTTCTAAGCAAACATGGCGGCCATTCTGTCGTTGGTGATGCAGAATTAATTCACAGCTCGCGCGCGCGAGCGCAAGCGGGCGCGCGCGCGCGCGTGGGCCCGTTGCACGCTGAACCATTTAACCAAAACGCTACAAACTCCAGCTATCTCGGATATTAAATCGGTTACCGCTACTGGGCCGCTTGATTTCCCAGGCCAGCATGGCGGCCCTGCTATTGCGGGTAGAACTCACAGCTCGCGCGCGCGCGTGGGCGCGCTGCACGCTGAGACACTTGGCCGACACGCTAGAAGCCCATGTTAAATTGGAAAAAGAAATCGGCCACCACTAAGGGGCTGCTTGAACTCCCAAGCCACCATGGCGGCCCTTCTGTTCTGGATAACGCAGAGCGGCGGCTCGCTCCCGCGCGCGCGGGCGACTTGTGCGCTGAGCCACTTGGCCGACATGCTACGCCCCCATGTCAATTTGACAATCCAGTCGGTCACCGCTGGGGGGCCACTTTAGTTTCCAGGACAGCACGACTGCCCTTCTTTTGTGGATAACACAGAATTCACAGCTCGCGCCCGCGCGCGCGCGTGGGCGCGTTGCGCGCTGAGCCACTTCACCGACGCGCTACAAACCCATGGTAAATCGGAAATCCAATCGGTCTCCGCCAGGGGACCACTTGAGCTTCCATGCCAACATTGCGGCACTTCTATTATAAGTGATACAGAATTCACAGCTCGCGCCGGCGCGCGCGCGCGGGCGCGTTGCGCGCTGAGCCACTTGGCTGGCGCGCTGCAGCCCCGCGCTACCTGGAACACCCATTCGGTCACCGCCCAAGAACCCCTTCGTTTCCAGGCCCCTTCGTTGCCAGACCGCTGAGAACAATGCAGAAATCACACCTCGCGCGCACGCGCGCGTGCGCGTTGTACGCTCGTCCTCCTCCCTCCTCCTCCTCCTCCTCGCCCAATCCTCCTCCTCCTCCTCCTCCTCCTCCTTTCCTCCTCCTCCTCATCCCCCTCCTCCTTCTCCCTCCCCCTCTTCCTCCTCCTCCCCCCCAAAGCTTGCGCAGTCAATGTCATCATACTTCTGCTCGCCCCTTTCCTGCTACTCCCGTCGCTCCTCCCTTCTTCCTTTTAGTCCTCGTCCTCCTCGTGTTCCTCCCCCGCCCCCCCCCTCCCCCGCCTCCTCATCATTCTTCTGCGCCCTGCCTGTTTCGGCAAGGGCCGCGAATGTGCATTCACACCCGGGCGTGCCCAGGCTGACCCACGAAATTCAGTTTGACGGCTTCCCCATCAATTTCTCTTCGTTACACGGAATGTTCCCGCACTTCCCTGATCAAGACATTTCGCCTGGGTACTATTGCTGGGTGGACCGTGATGGATACGAACAGTAACGAAACCAACTACGCGATCAACCGCGAATGAAACTACACACGGAACTCCCCACAAACATGTTTCGCACGTGGCGTTCATCGTGCAACAACACTTCCAGAAGGGCGAAAGAGGCGAAGCCTTCCCACAATAAAATCACGATTTCTGAACTCAAGCACACACAGCCCTTCAGGGCAAAAACAACAACAAACCAGAATTCTGGATTTTTAAAACCATGCCTTCGGACAAAAACGTAATTTTGAATCTTACATTTTAGTTGTGCCCCCCGGCCTGGCTGTTAGCGTTTTGGGGTGGGCCCCCCTTCCTGTAGACGGCCCCCTCACTAAGGTGTGCCGAATTGGGCGGCGGCGACGCATGAGGACGCAACCACTGGGGCCTTCGGTGGAGCTCCCTATGGGGCCACGAACCGTGTGATGGGGTGTGCCGTAATGGGTGGCGGTGGCGCACGAAGACGCAACCACTGGGGACGTCGGTGGAGCTCCCAACGGGGCCACGAACCGTGGGGGTGTGCCGTAATAGGTGGCGGCGACGCATGAGGACGCAGTTTCGGGCAACGAACCGTGTGAGGGGTGTGCCGTAATGGGTGGCGGTGACGCATGAGGACGCAATCACTGGGGCCTGCTGTGGAAATTCCTACAGGGCCACGAACCGTGTGAGGGGTGTGCCGTAATGGGTGGCGGTGACTCATGAGGACGCAACCAATAGGGCTTTCGGTGGAGCTCCCCATGGGGCCACGAACCGTGTGAGGGGTGTGCCGTAATGGGTGGCGGTGACGCATGAGGGCGCAGCCACTGGGGTCTTCGGTGGAGCTTCCTATGGGGCCACGAACCGTGTGAGGGGTGTGCCGTAATAGGTGGCGGCGACGCATGAGGGCGCACCCACTGGGGCCTTCGGTGGAGCTTCCTATGGGGCCATGAACCGTGTGAGAGGTGTGCCATAATGGGTGGCGGCGACGCATGAGGACGCAGCCGTTGGGGTCTTCGGTGGAGCTCCCTATGGGGCCACGAACCGTGTGAGGAGTGTGCCGAACAGGTGATGATGATGATGATGATGATGATGATGATGATGATGATGATGATGACGATGATGATGATGATGATGATGACGATAATGATGGTGACGGTGATGCTGATGATGGGGATGCTGATGATGGGGAGAGGGACGGGGGGGCAGCGGAAGGACGCGGCCGCTGTCTCTTCAAAACGAGGGCCCAACAACACAGGTTGGTTGGGAAAAACAGAAATCAACAAAAAAAACATAACATATACCAGTCGCGGGCCATTGGGCGGCGCGAGCGCACCGCTGCTGCCCCTACTAGACATGGCAGCCGCGCGGGCATTTGCTTTCTCGGGGCTGCGGCCCGTCCCTGGACGCGCGCCGTACCTCCCGAATTTGGTCCGTGGACGTAATTCAAGTCGCTGCGAAGGGCAGCAATGTCCGAACTACAACTACGCCCCTACTAGAAATGACAGCCGGGCGCAGTCGCACACAGTCGCGCGCTCACGCAGCATCTGTGGAAAGTCACGGATGTGACACGCGCCCCCTGCAATTACCCAAGAAGACAGAGCATGGGACTTGGAACGTCCACGAGAAAACTGTATTTACGCTGTTTCACTTATGTTTATGTGTTTTTCTGTCTTTGAGCCAGGACGTCCATGGTTTCTGGATGCGAAAGCGTCGCGCTTTCAAACGCAAAACCACCGAAACCCGAGAAACCAAGGGCACCCTGGAGGCAAGCAGGGTGTTTCTCGGCATGGGCTTCCACTGTGCGTCCTCCTCCTCCTCCTTCTCCTCCAGCCGCCCGGACCTTGGCGCACTCGCGTCGTCGTTGAAGCGGAGGCGCAACAGCCCGTACAGGGTGGCGTTGTCGGCGTCCTGGTCGCCGGCTTGCCGCGTGCTCCTCCTCCTCCTCCTCCTGCTCCTCTCCTTCTCCTCCTCCTCATCACCATCATCCGTAGCCGCTTTGGCTCAAGATGATCCCCTCCTCAGGGAAGACAACGGGCACCTCTGATCCAAGGCAGCTTTCCGTACTACTCCCCCCTTTGTTCGCCCCACGGGGCGCCCCGAACCAGCACGTGCCGATGCCATACCGTCCAGTCAGCCCCAGGTGAAGCACCTCGCACCAGCGTGCCAGGTCTCCCAGCGGCGCTCGACGCCGACACCATGGGTGGAGATGGGCAGCGCCGTAGTTCCAAAGGTGGTCGGGCTGACATAGAACACGAAACAAATACACAAAAAGAAACTTCTGGCGCTCCGCTCGGATTTCTTGGATCTGCGCCGGATCCCCCTCCCTGGCGCGCGGAGCGCACCAGGGGCGGCACCGAAGAATTACGCACGCAGCGGCAAAAATTTACGTTTACGGCGTTGTTCTTCTTCGAAGGAAGCAGCTGGCACCGTCGCCTGCTGCTTCCCGCCAGGCACCGATCCCAGCAGGCCCCGACGACGGCCCGCGCAGGCTAACAACGGGCAGAAGCCCTAGGATCGGGCGTTGGCAAATCTGGGTTTAGTGGGACCTGGTTTAGTGATGTGTACTGGGGGACGCCCCCCCCCCCCGCCCCGTTGCACGAACCGGAACTGCCGTCACCCGAAGAACACCAGAACTGCCAGCAGACCTGGTTTGGTGCTTCTAGCCAATTTAGGAGCTCTGCGGCCCTACCACTAACCGGGTCTCCTTACCTGGGGTCCTGGCTATACCCGTTGGGAGGAGGAGGCCGGGCGACAGCTAAGCCGACGACGGCGGCCGAGCGACGGCGGCGACAGTCCTCGTCTGCCGGCGCCGCGCTGTCGGCGGCGCGGGCGAGCTCGGCCTCGTCCCTGGCGCGCTCCGCGAGGGCCCGCTCGGCGGCGGCCTGCCCGCGGCGCCAGCCCCGCCCGCGCCTCCCTCCCGCGGATCGTGAGCCCCCCCCCTGCTCCTCCTCCTCCTCCTCCTCCTCCTCCTCCTCCTCCTCCTCCTCCTCCTCTCCTCCTCCTCCTCCTCCTCCTCCTCCTCCTCATCATCATCATCATCATCATCATCATCATCATCATCATCATCATCATCATCATCATCATCCTTCTTTCCTATCGTCCTCAAGGCCACGGGGCACGTTGCGTTTCTGTGCACAAGTCCATGGGATGCACAGAGAGACAAGTCCATGTGGAGGGGGTCTGAGGAGATGCCCTGGAGAGGAGGGAAGGCCAAGGGAAGGAAAGAGGGGGATAAGCATCAAGTGTTTCTCAAGACCCCAAAATCCTACACTGCGCATCCTCGCCTTCCTCCTCATCATCCTGTGGAGTCCTCCTCCGTCCTTCTCGTCGTTGTCCTCCTCCTCCTCATCCTCCTCATCATCATCATCATCATCCTCCGCCCTCTACAATTACTCAATATGAATACTACTCTCCCTCTTCCCCTGATGACGTGCTGGGAGTGTTCGCCCCCCCCCCCCCCGCGTCCTGTTTTTTTACACACAGGTTTCCCGGGAGTTGGGTTTTCGCTTGCATTTTTTTTCAAAATGCTGCTCTCGCTGAGGCGCCGGCCTCATTTTCGGGCCCCGCTCGTTCCGAATCGTGCTCCCGCTGCAGCGCTGGCCTCATTTCCGCGCTTCCGCTCGTTCCGAACCGTGCTCCCGCTGCAGCGCTGGCCTCATTTCCGCGCTTCCGCTCGTTTCGACTCGTGCTCCCGCTGCAGCGCTGGCGTCATTTCCCGTGCCATGCCACGGCGTGCAATACAATGCTAGGTTGATACTACGCTTTGCGGTGCTCTTCTAAGCCATGCCATGCCGTGCTCTACAATGCATCACGTACCCTTTCGGGATCATTGCCCTGCTCGACATCCGACTGTGCGAGTAGAGAGGGGATCTGCGCCATGGTAAGGGATGGGAGGGAGCGGTAGGATGTCAGATATGACGCGAGCGCACCTAGCTTGCCTCCTCCCCCTCCTCCTCCTCCGCCATTCCGTTTCCTTTTAAATAGCCTGTCACATCCCGAGTCCAGTTTTTAGGACGGGCCGAGCGTTTCGCCTGAGACTTCCTGACCATGTATGACCATGAAGCTTAAACATCGGCATCAGTTTCACAGATGGAGGGCGGGTGGTTTTCAAAATGAGGCTCTCGACTTAGCGCCGCGCACATTCGATTGAACATGTTACCAGAGTTTCACGAGTTGAAGGCGATTCCTGTTCAAACTGTGGCTCTCGTCTTTGCGACGCGCACAGTCGGGTTTAAAACATGCAAGCGTTTCACGGATTCTCATGATCCGCGTACCCGAAATTGCGTTTTAGAAGAATTCTGGATAGTGAGGGTGCAACAGTTACACTGGTTCGTGGTTGTGAAATTCCAGGAATGGCGCTCTGGCACGATTTGGATCGTCCAGGCGCAAACATCAAAATGATCCGTGGCGTTTGAATGCCAGGAACAATGTTTTGGCATGCTTCCAGGTGTTCAAACGGTTGTCTTCCAACGAGGCAGTTCCCTCCTTGGAAATGAACCATTGTAGGGGCCTGTGTAGAGGGAGCTTGAAGGGAAGGTGGATCCCAACATAGCTGATTACTCTTGGGTTTACACTGGTCCTCCTCCTCGCCCTCCTCCTCCTCCTCCTCCTCTGCCTCCTCCCCCTCCTCGGTCCGCATCATCCCTCCTCCTCCTCGGACAATAGGGACAGCTGTCGGCACAACACGCTGCCGCTCTTTAGTAATCTCCTCTTCCTCTGCAGAGAATGAGCAAGTCGGCCCTCCTCCTCTTCGTCCCCCGGGCGGCCCCGCTGCACGTCGCGGCTCGTTCGGTCTCGGGGCTTTGCGATGCAAAGAGAGTGATTGGCCAATATGGAGGCGGGTCTCTAAGGACACCCCAAAAGTACCAGCCTGGAACATATCCCCATCCCTATGCTGGGCATCTGCTCATCACGATGCCAATCGTAGGGACTCCCTTATTTTTGAGGGCGCATCCCTAAGATTGTCATCGCCTTTTGGCGTGTCAATCGTAAGGGTAGGGATAAGTTCGAGGCTGGTAACCCAAGAGAAGAAGGAAGGCCGCGGGGAGGAAGGAACAACATACAAATAGTGCTGGGTCCCAGGCGCCGTGCTCCCTCCCCCCCCTTCGGGGGGGAGCAACCCTCCCTGGGAGAAGCGCGCTGCCCTTTCGGAAACGGCAGAGGATCGCTCCAGGACGGCACGAGATACCCTGAGGACAGCCTCGAATCCCCCCAAGACGCCTCCAGAGTGCTCCAGGAGGAGCCACAGGAGGGCCCCAAGAGGCGAAAACCAGCGAATTGCATGCAGTTGCTCGATGTGTTTCGCCTCCTCGCCTTTTCGGGCTTCCGACGCTCAAAGACTGCCCAGGAAGCCACCAAGGTCGCCCGAGGACGGTCCAAGAGGCTGCCGAAAGCACCCGAAGATGGACCCAAACGGCCGCAAGACGACACAACACGGCCTCAAGACCTTCCAAGGGGCCTCCAATACGGCCGAATATGGCCCAAAGAGGCTCCCGAGAGGGGGAACACCAACCGACATTTCGAGCCTTCCGCCCCAAGAGGTCCCCAGGAGGCGCCTAAGAACCCCCCAAGAGCCCCAACACAGCCCCAGGAGCACTCCCAAGAAAACCCAAGAGGGTAAACCCAATGATTTCGCTGAAGTTATTGAATATGTTTCGTCGTCGCCATCGTCGTCGTCGTCCCCCGTCGTCGTCCCCCTTTCAGAGGCGGCGGCACCGGCCGTAAGGCCTTCGCAAGATGGAAGTGGGCCTAAGGAAACACCCAGGAGAAGAAGGGACGTCGAAGGAAAGAAACATGTAAACTGTACTACAGCATCCTCCCTTCCTAAAACTGCGCATCCTCCTCCTCTTCCTCCTCCTTTCCTCCTCATCCTCCTCCTCCTCCTCCTCCTCCTCCCTCCCCATCCTCGGTCCGCATCCCCTCCCTCTGGGAATTGTTCGGCGAAGCCGAATTGGCATCGGCAGCGCCTCGGACTTACTCTGAGGGATAATCAGTGGCTGAAGACGCTGCCGCTTTTTAGTGCGTCCCTCTTAAGCGAAGGTCAAAATCTACCTCATCCTCCTCAGCCTGCTCCCTCCTCATCCTTCTCCGTGCGCTGCCGAAGAAGGGGCGCAAATCTAAGAAATGTGTTCGTCTTCAAACCGTGAGTCCAAGGACACCTTGGTCAGCACCCTTTGGAAAGTCATGGAAATCGAAGGCCAACTACCCCCCTTTGACCATTTACGCCAGCTCCTCGTCCGGCTCTCGAGCCAGAACTCCGCACGATCCTGGCACCCCCCGTGAAGCCCTCAAACGAGGCGCAGCCGCTGGAGAGCACTCCGAGGCTCGAAAATCGTCAGGGACCGACGAAGCAGTCTAACCACTTCGAACCCTCGAACCTCCCCGCTGTCCCAGCTGGCCCTGCTCGGCTCCTGTCTGGGCGCCCGAAAGAAGTACGAAAAAGATGGCCACGATGCCCAAGCAACAAATGTCGTCCAAAACCGACAGCAGCCGCTGTTGGCCAGGCGGCTTTCTGTCTCAAACGGACCACGTCCGCGGCGACACCGACAGCGAGTCCCGTCTAAAATGGGCAGGACCTACTGTTGGACATCGTACCAAACCTTTCCGTACTCCAAATCCTTTGTTAATCGTCCACCCGGTCCGGTTTTTTAAGGCGCCTTTCTTGTAACTGGGGGGTCCGGTTTACTAGGGCGCTTCCTTTGGATTGGAGCTTAGGGGGTCCGGCTTATCAAGGCGCCCCGTCGCAGAGGGGGGTCCAGAATATCAGGTCGCATTTGGAGGGGGGTCGGGTTTTTTACGGGGGGGCGATTAATATGAAGGGGCCCTGGGACACACAAATAAATACACACGAATAACAATATTCCCAATATTTTACCATATTTTCTGGGTTTGTGTCTTCCCCCCCCACTTCCCATATTTTCCTATATCTCCTGGGGGATCGACGATTAATTGTGTCTGTGTTTTTTCTCCTCCTGATAACAAGGGATTTGGAGTCCCCATTTCGTTCCGATCATGGAGCACTCTGAAGGGGAACTGGGACACACAAATAAATAGACACAAATAATCAGATTCCCCATGTTTTCCCATATGTTCTGGGCTGCAGTCTCCCCCCCCCACTTCCCATCTGTTCCCACATATTTTTCTGGGAGATCGACGATCAATTATGTCTGTGTATTTTTGTTTTCCTCCTGATAACCAGGGACTTGGAGTACCCACTTCGTTCCGATCCTGGAGCACTCCGCCCACCTCCCTCCTGGGTGGCCCGACGCTTAAGTCGGGCCTGTCCCCCTACAGGGGAATCTTCAAGGAAAAATTAAAAAAATACCCAAAAAATGCCCCCAAAAGGTAAACAAATACTACAACAATAGCCCCCAGACTATTGTTGGACTATGTTTTGGCTATTTCTGGGGTATTTGTTTTATCTTTCGCCGAGAATCTCCATGTATGGGGGACAGGCCCGACTTTTAACCCGACGCGGGCGGGCGCGGCCTTGCGCTCCTCCCGCGACAGGCCCTCGGAGGCGAGGGCGGCCCGGAAGCCCTCCACCTGCGCAGCGCTCTGCGAGGGCCGCCCGCCGCCGCCCCGCGCCACGGATCCGAGGCCGCCCATGCGGCGGCAGCACGGCCGACCGCCGGCCGAAGACCACCAAGGAAGCTCGGGATCTCCACCGAAGGGGGGAGGAGGAGGAGGAGGAGGAGGAGGAGGAGGAGGAGGAGGAGGAGGAAGAGGAGGAGGGGGGACCCGATCGGGCCGGGCGAAAGGGGGGGATAGCTAAGGGGGGCTTTGAGACGCAGCTCACGTGGCTGATTTTCCCGGCGCCTCCCGGCGCCGGGAGGCGCCCATGCATGGAGGAATGGGCCCGACGGCGGGGCCGAAACCAGCTGCATGCAGCAGATTTCGTACCCCCCCCTTTCCCAATCCCCCCCCTTTCGTCCGGCCCGACTTGAGGGGGGTGGGGGGAGTTCGATACGTTGGTGGATCGAATTTCCGAAAAACGATGCCCCCCGCGCGCCCCAGTTGTCGACACCTCTCGGGTTCCGGCGGCGGCCGGAGGCCTTGTTTTGCATAGTCTCTGGGCGGTTCGGTGCGCCAACGGACCGAACTCCCCCCCTCACCCTGTGGCACCCCCCCACCCATTGCGGGATCCCGAGAAACCGAAACCGACCGACATGGAGGGAAATGAGAAACGGTGACCAGGACCAAGACCGAACGCGGAAACGTCGCCGTGGACCTTAGTCACCACCCCATCCTGGTCACCGTAGATCCTTGGATACGTCCTGTGAATCGGCGACGGTGGCCAGGACGAGCGGTGACCAGGACCAAGACCGAACGCGGAAACGTCGGCGTCGACCGTGGTCGCCACCCCATCCTGGTCACCGTCGATTCGCGGATGATCATTGCGAATCGGCGACGGTGGCCAAGACGAGCGGTAACCATGACCAAGACTGAACACGGCAACGACGGGGTCGACCTCAAGCACCATCCATCTTGGTCTCCGTCGACTCGTGGATAGTCCTCGCGCATCGGCGACGGCCAGCATGGACCATGACCAAGATGGACGTTGACAAGATCCCGCAACATGTCTGAGCATCGTTTCACCGACCCCCTATCCCTATCGGCGTTGCCTGAGCACCACTGGCCCATACACCCTCTAGATGAGAATACAGGCTGTTTCCTCCAGATTACTGGGGTGCTGAGATGGAGGGGCTCTGGATAAGGATGAGAATGGGGACTGGGGTCAGTTGAACGATGCGGCATCCTGGTCATGGTCAGCGCATGTCCTCCCAACATGGCGATCCACAATTAGGGAAACGAACTCTATACACCGACGCTTTTCCCGACCCTGCGCTGAAATTCGCATAGGAACGCGGATTCTGGTGTATACGGGATCCTGGTGTATCGATGTTTCGTTGTTTCCCTTGGAAAACGGGGGGAAAGTATACACCACACCACCCCGACGTCGTCCCTGACCCTAAAAAAGTCGTGGGATTGAAAAACAGCCCGACACTGGGTAATGTATGTGTTCCAGGTTGCGAACCAACAGCCTGAGAAGACGCAGCGACGCAGCAACGCCACGGCAGCCGGCCGCACCAGTCAGGCCCAGCGTCACCCGACCGCGACGAAGCGGGGGCCCGACCGAACCACGAATGCCCCTCCGTCCCGTGAGCCCGCCTGGCGGGCGCAGTCTTGCGCGAGCACCACCAAGGCCATCTTCGCCCTCATCATCAGCAGCACCATCATCGACATCAGCATCATCATCTGAAGTACTCTTCATCATCATCATCATCATCATCATCATCATCATCATCATCAGCAGCAGCAGCAGCAGCATCATCATCGCCATGCTCATAATCATAATCGTACTCAGCATCGGTATCACCACCATCATCATCGCCATCATCACCACCATCATCATCTTCGTCGGCTTCCTGTCTCGTCCTCTGGGGCCCCATCCTGCTGGTGCTCCTCCCTCTCCTCCTCCGGGCTGCAGACCTGAAGGATGCACCGCGGGACTCCGCCCCGAAAATGGCAGAGTACGGGAGCCGATAGCTCTTACAATGTCGAGGGTGCGTGGCTGAAGTGGGACCCGCCCCGCGCCACACCCCGCGACGACGACGACGACGACGGACGACGACGGACGACGGACGACGACAGCCGACGACGACGACGACGACGACGACGACGACGACGACGACGACGACGACGACGACGACGACGACGGACGACCGACGACGACGGACCACGGACGACCGACGACGACGGCGACGACGACGACGACGGCGGCGGCGGCCCGCTACTCCCCCCCGGCGGGATTGGCGGGCGCCCCGCCATCTCGGCGCGCTGCCCCTGGTGCGCCTCGCCGCGTGGGCGGGTGGACGGGCGGCGGCGGCGGCGGCGAGGCCCCGACGCGCCCCCCCCGAAGACGAAGCGACGAAGCCAGCGAGGATGGTTAGTCCCATCGTACTCGGGGACCACATCCCGGGAGTAATTCCGAGCGCCGAAAACAAATGCCGAAACGGTGTCGATCCAGCGTCGCTTCCCAGGGCCAGACACGGGAGAACCCGCAAGCTTCGGTACCTTCTTGGGTGCTCGTAAGTCTTTCTGGTGATTAAGTGCGGGACGGGAAAATGACCACAGCCACTGCTTCTTGTTTGCGCCGCCTTCCAGCCGGCCGAAAAAGAAGCAGTGGTTGTGGTCATTTCCCTGGTGCCAAGCTCAACGAAAATGACCACAACCACTGTGTTGTTTCTGCGGGCTGAAGGCGGCAACAAAAGAAAAGCAGTGGCTGTGGTCGTTTTCACGCCCCGTATTAAGGCTAAAGTAGGTTGAAACATCATGAGACGAAGATCGAAAAAAAAGTCGGGTCGGCATGCGGCCACCGTGCTACCACAGAAGACGGAGGAGAAGGAAGCAGGAAGCCGAGGCTGGCAGCGCAATCTCTACGACTGCCTCACCTCTTCGCCACGTGGCCACTGCACCCCTGGCGTGCCACCACGAGGAGAGCAGAATATAAGGAACGAGGGGGCTTCTTCTGGCCACGGCGGGCCCAGGCCACAGACAGGTTCCATGGTGGAACTCTGAAAAAACGGCCCGAAAACCGGAGCCCCTCCGGAGCCCCAGATGGTTCCCACGTCAGCGACTCGACTGCACATCGAGCCGCCGAGAGCCCGCGGCTCCGGAGGATGTCTCGAGCGCCGCGGCCCTCCCAGGGCGCTCCAGATAGCTCTGAGAGCGTTCCAGAACGCTTCGGAACGGATCTTTCTGCATTCTAGACCCTGTCCGACCCCCCCCCCTCCTCGAGGAACAAAGGGAGGGAGGAGGAGGGACGAAAACAGGAGGACGTGCTCCCGCGTCCACCTGTACCCCCCCCCACGATGGGAAACTCGGATGATTGATCCCTGGTCTGACCAGAAGGCTGAAGTGCCTCCAGTGAGGTCCACCGTGTTCCTCGCGTGGCTGATGGCCGGTCACCCCTCGACGAGCATATACGTTATCACTCGCATGATTGACATCCTGGCCCTCCGTTGTCATTATCAGTCACGACCGCCTGCGGCAAGTGTCGGCTACACGCGAGAGTGACCCTGTGTAAGAGTGACCTTGGGTGCGCGGCTTTTGGGGGGCCGCGTGGGGACCAAACCTGGGCGCGCAAGCCGTTACTCCTGCTTCGCATTCAGCCATCTGGGGACCCATCTGTGCCCGCACCAAAGGTCCCTCTGGCGAAAGGTCACTCTTACGTCTAGTCGATAGTAGTGGCACATCGCATTGCGGGCAAGTCGCAGCACAGCGCATAGTTCTTACCGGCCAGACAGAGCGCAGCCATCCCGAGGGCAGCACGAGAGTCCAGCCTGCTTCTTGCCGCGCCGCTCCTTCTTCGTGGCCTTCTGGCCTCGCCCGGGCTGGTGCCGGGAGGGGAGAAGACGAGGAGGTCATCATCCCCCCCGCACACTTCCTCCTCCTCCTCCTCTTTCTCCTCCTCCTCCTCCATATCATCATCATCATCATCATCATCATCATCATCATCATCATCATCATCATCATCATCATCATCACCACCACCACCACCACCATCATCATCATCATCAGCATCAGCATCAGCATCAGCATCAGCATCAGCATCATCATCATCATCATCATCATCAGCATCATCATCATCATAACCACCACAACCACCATCATCATCAGCAGCAGCACCATCAGCATCATCATCATCATCATCATCATCATCAGCATCATCATCATCATCATCAGCAGCAGCAGCATCAGCATCAGCATCATCAGCATCAGCATCAGCATTATCATCGCCATCAGCATCAGCATCATAATCATCATGAGCAGCAGCAGCAATATGAGCATCATCATCAGCAGCAGCTTCATCACCAGCACCAGCATCATCATCATCATCAGCAGCATCAGCATCGTCATCACCACCATCAACATAATCATCTTGTTTATTGTCATCATCATTATCATTATCATGTTCGGCATCGTCATCGGCATCGTCATCGTGCGCATAGCATCAGCAGCAGCATCGCTCTCACCGCCACAACCACCATCAGCATCATCATCATAATCAGCACCATCATCATAATCATCAGTATCATCCGCAGCAGCATCAGCATCAGCATCAGCATCAGCGACAGCATCATGAACAGTAGCATCATGATCATGATTAGTATCGTTATCATCAGCATCATCACGGGCATCAGCAGCATCATCAGCAGCATCATCGGCAGCAGCATCGTCATCATCATCGTCATCAGCATCCTAATCGTCATCGTCATCACCAGCAGCAGCATCATGTTCACAATCAGCACCATCACCATCACCAGCATCATCATCAGGATCATCATCAGGATCATCAGCATCATAATGATCATCATCAGCAGCAGCATCATCATCCTCATCAGCATCATCATGAACACCATCATCATGGGCGTCGGCGGCGCCCTCTTCCACACCCTCCTCTCACTCTTTCTCCCCACGTTCCCCTCCCTCCCCAGACCATGTTCGATCGGCGAAACAATCATCCTCATGCGAATCCTCATGCTATTCCTCATCCTCCTTCTCGCACTCCTCTTCCTCGTCACTCCTATCCTTCCTCCTCCTCAGTCTCCTCTCCCTGATGCTCGTCTTCTGATGGGATAAGGAGGCGGCTTGAACACGTTGGAGTGAAACTACAATGTCCTCATCATCGCCTTTGTCGTCCTCCTTCTCCTCCCCATGACGCCCCAACACTGCCCCCACCTTCTCGTCCCTCTTGTCTTCCTGCTCCTTCTTGTCATCACCACCACCACCACCACCACCATCATCATCATCATCATCATCATCATCATCATCATCATCATCATCATCATCATCATCAGCATCATCATCATCATCATCATCATCATCATCATCATCAATCATCAATCATCATCATCATCATCAGCATCAGCATCATCATCATCATCATCATCATCATCCTCACCAGCAGCAGCATCGTCATCATCGTCGACATCATCATCACCATCAGCATCATCATCATCGTCATCATCATCAGCATCATCATCATCAGCATCATCATCATCATCGTCATCATCGTCAGCATCATTCGCATCATCATGATGCTCCTCCTCCTCCTCCTTCTCCTCCTCCTCCTCCTCCGTTTCCTCCCCATGCTCCTCCCTCCCTCTCTGTTTCCAACTCCTCCTCTTCCTTCTCCTCCTCCTCCTCCTCCTCGCTCTTTCCACTCCGTTGGAAGGATGCCCCGCCGCACTGGAGTAGAAAGCTGATGTTCTCTCTCTGCTCCTCCTCTCCACTTTGGTCTGCAAGCGGCATCGCGCCTTGCACAACCCCGGCAGAGGTTTTCTTGTGCAGCGCTTTCGTGGATCTCCGAGTCCTGTCCCCCTCTCTCCTTCCCCTCCTCCTCCTCCTCCTCCTCCTCCTCCTCCTCCCCCTCCTCCTCTTCCCTCGTCCTACCCCCTCCCCCTCGCCCTCCCTCGTCCTAACCCCTCCATATCCCTCTCATCCTCCTTCCTCTCCCCCTCCCTTGTCCTACCCCAACCTCCTCCCCATCCTCCTCTTCCTCCCCAGCCCCTCCAGCCACCCAACCACTGGCACACCCTTTGGTACATAGCGGTTGGGCTTTGTCGCGGGCGTTGAAGAAGTTTCCCGCCTCTCTCTTTTTCTCTCTCTCTCTCTCTCTTTTTCTCTCTCTCTCTCTCTCTCTCTCTCTCTCTCTCTCTCTCTCTCTCTCTCATACAGACGCGACTTCGTTTTCAAACGATTCCCCGTTCTATGCTGCGTCCTGCGTCCTTTCCCTTCCCCTCCCCTCTCCTAGATAAATCAACAATCACCGAATCATGAATGCTCGGAACTCCGCGCAGAATCTCTAGGATCAGCGCTGGAACCCCCTGGAGGCGCCTCCGGCGTCTCCCATGGCGCGCTCTGCGAACCAGGGAGGGGGGTTCAGCGACGATCCAAGAAACTCGAACAGACCTCCGAAAGTGCATGTTCATGCAGTTGTTGTGCTTCTCGGTGCCTTATTATTTCTCCGACTCCCCCCCACCCCCTCCCTCTGGGGGGCAACGATACGGGGACACTGGCATAGGCGGGGAAGCCTCCTCCTGGAATCGTCGAGACGTCGCCGATGGGCCGCCGACGGCAAATCCGCACGCTCCTGGGCGGGGTGGGCTATCGGGCCCCGTGATGTATGGACGATTAGGGCTCGATGCATCCCCCCCTATGCACATCCCCCCCTATCGTTGCTTGGCGGCGCGCAAGGGGGTTGGGGCGAGGGGGGAAGGAAGGCTTCTTGGAAAGAACCAGCGCCCTAGAAGGCGCGGGCATTTCATCTACAGATCAGGCCCGCGCCTTTTAAGAAGCAGGTGACTAGCAACAAACGTACCCCTGAACCCTTTGGGAGGGAACCCAATGTAGGAGGGCCAAACGCATTAGGAATAAGGGGGCCTTCCCTGAAGATGTGCATCAAACCAATCCACCCACAACTTGTTATCCCTAATGCAAAGACGGGGACCTAAATGCAGCACCATTTGCCGTCCTCGGCTTTCTGGTCATAACTCGGGTCTATGGCGGCCGCTCGGGAAGATCCAGGCATCCCCGGAACGCATTCGGCGAGGCGCAGCTGCTGGAAGGTATCCCGAGGCTGGGAAACGTCCACGAACCGACGAGGGCGTCCGAAAACCTCAGACCCCGAACCTCTCGTCCCCCCTCTTGCTGTCAGCGTCAGAGGTCGGTGGATCCTCGACGGGCAGGGCTGCTCCTCGGAGGCAATCGTTGCCCCTGGCCCCTCCCAGGAGAGCCCAGAATCGGATCGACAAGTCGGATCGGCAGTCGAAATGAATCGGATCGGCGGAAATCGGCAGCCGAATCGGGAACAGTCGAATCGGCTGAAATTGGCAGGCTAGTATGCCTCCCACAATGAATCGGAACCCAAATCGGAATCCCAAGTCGAATCGAATCGGAATCGGAAGCCATCGAAGTCGAATCGAATCGAATCGGAGGAAGCGAAACGAGCCCTGCCCTCCCCGCGCCGCGACGGCGCACTCCCGGCGGCCTCCGCCGAGCGCGCGCTGAGTCGCGCCGCCCCCGAGGCCGCGGTTGGAGCCCTCGACGGAGACGAAGTACTCAGTGCCTGGCGCAGCGGGCTCGCGGCCGGCTCGCGCCGGACGAACATAGAGGCCCCCAAGAGGCCCCCAAGAGGCCCCCAGGAAGTTTAAAACAGGGCCAGGATCGGGATAAATCGCTCCAGAGCGTTCCGGAGCGCTCTCAGAGCGTTCCGGAACGCTCTGGAGCGGCCGCGGCGCCCAATACATCCTCCAAACCCGCCGATTCTCAGAGATTTCGAGTTATCCCGATCCGATTTTGTCCCGATCTTCGCGTCGTTTTAAGAGGCCCCCAGGAGGCCGCGAGAAGACTCCAAGAGGCTCCCAAGAGGCCGCCAGGAGGCTCCCGAGGGGCCCCTGAACTTGTCCCCCAGAGGCCCCGGAGAGCGCTTCGAAGAGACCCCAAGAAGCATCCATGAAGACTCTGACCCACGTCAGCGTCGTCGTCGTCGCCGCAGCCGCCGTTGTCGTCGTTCCCCTTCAGGGTCGGCGGCACCGGCCACAAGGCCTTCGCAACAGAGGCCTCCTATCTGGACGCCCGAGATGGATACAGCTCGCTCGTAGAATAAGGACGAACGATAAGAAACAAGGGCCTTGGAAGGCCATGCCGACACCCTGCGAGCGGAGCGCGGCCAGCAGAAGCGGCCAGCGACGGGCCACAGGGGGAGGATGCAAGGGAGGGTAACCTTGGAAAATCGCTCATGCTCACTACGCAGGTTGAGTGTACGGAATGAATGGGCACGATGCCCAACAACAAATCCGGCGGCGGTCCCCAATCGGTGCTTGCACTGAAAGGGTCCTAGCGGATCTTGAGGCAGCATTTGGCGAGAAAGGCAGCCGATTTCGGTAGGCCGCCATGTTCCCGGTTCCCGGGTTCCCTGTTCCGGGATCTTGGTTCCTGGGTTCCCAGCTCCGCGTTCCCTATTAAGTGAGATCGGTAGTGAGATCTGTATTACGATCGATATCACGATCGATCTCACTACCGATCGCACTATGGAAGTCACTGCCGACCTCACGATCGTTCTCCTACTCACATAATGGATGTCACTATCTGTCTCAGTCCATCGATCCCGCTCAATCGATCTCACTCAGGCGATCTCTTTCAATCGACGTCACTCAATCGATCTCACTCAATCGATTTCATTCAATCGACATCACTCCATCGGCAGCACTCGTTCCAAAATTTACAAGGAGTCAGTGTTTAGGGCCTCTTCGAGCCCTACGGCGAAACTGCGGCCAGGAATGGTACTTGACAAATTTTCAGAACTGCGGCCAGGATCGGCCAGGAATCCACTGATTGGGTTTTCTTGTTTGTGTAAACTAGAAACGAACAGCGAAAAGAAACGTCGCAAAAGAAACGTCGTCGGAGGTGAGGGTGTGAGATCGTAAAGGAACTGAAAGCCCCCTTTCGGGAAATCGAATTTCGGTTTCGTGTTCGTGTCGTGCGTGCGGGCGAGGCGAACCGACGTGGGCGCGCGAGAAGAATGATGCCGCCGTGGCTAGGGGCTGTGGAGGCGGTTGTCACCCCCCCCTCTGGCGCGCGGTGGCCGGGGGTGTCCCGCGAGTGGCGCGTCGGTGTCCCGTCGGAGCTCCGCCGGTGTCCCGTCGGAAGCGTGTCCCGTCGATGGTGTGGGGTGTCCCCTCGGTGGCGCGGGGTGTCCCGTTGGTGGCGCGGCGATAAAATCGATAGTGAGATAATATGTCTGATCTGTTGTGAGATCGATCGTGTTTTATGTTGTGAGATCGGCAGCGAAATCTGTGAAACAAGAAACGATAGTGCGATCTGTTGTGACACCGATCGTGAGAACGCTCGTGAGATTTATAGTGCGATCGATTGTGAAACCAATTGTAAAACCGATTGTGAGATCGATGGTGAGATCGTTGGTGACATCGATCGTAAAACCGATGGTGAGAATTGTTGTGACATCGATGGTGGGTCCGAACGTGAGATCGATAGCAAGGTCGATTGCCATGTCAACGGTGAAGTCAATTGGGAGATCGATAGTGAGATCTGTTGTGAGATCGATCGTGGGATCAATTGTAAGATCGATAGTGAGCTCGATCGATAGTGAAGCCGATTGTAAGTTCGAAGAGTCGATTGTGAGATCGATTGTCACAGCGACAGTGAGTACAGGTGCATAGGGAACGAAGGGGTTGTTCTGGCCACGGCGAACATCGGCCAGGGATCAATTCCCCGCCTAGATCTAAGGAAAGGCCTGGAAACCAGAGCCCCTCCTGAGACCTCAGTGGTCAATATTGCAGCGTCTTCACTGTATGCTGGCGGAACGTTTGTTGACCGTCCCACTAGTGCGTTCCGTAGTCTTGATGGTGTCCTCGGATGACCCCATGCCAAGCCCAAAACAGAACCGCGGCCAGCGCGACTGCGGCGCTGCTGAGGTGCAGAAGATGCGAGCCACGATGCTGCTAAAACGCGCGATATCTGGAGCGCTCCTATCTGGTGTTCGTTACCGGTGGGGGGGGGGCAATGGACGGAGAGGTAATCAAAGAAACGTGCACCTGTCGGTCGCCACGGCAACAAGCTCTGCGCAACCTCTGGGTGACGACATTGGGTCAGGTATGTGTGACCCAGGAGCGAAGCGCCCCCCTGTAACATGCACCCTTCGTGCACCATTTGGCCTCGCTGTGACAGCTCGGGGGCCGTGGAGGGCCCCGCGAATGGCCATCTGCCTCCGAGCCTCGACCCCCCCACGACTGCCGATGATCGCTTCTCGAACGCGTGGTAGCGCCAACGTGCGTTCGTCCAACGACCCCCCCCCAGCGACGCAGGCGGTACAGCCAGGCTTACGTTGGGCCTGTCCCCCTACAGGGGGGATTTTGGGACGAAAAAATATACACACTCGAAAAATATTCAAACATGACGAAAATTCGTCCCTTGACAATCTTTTAAAGTATGTTTGGACATCCCTCCTGTAGAGGGACAGGCCCGACATCATGCTAGCGCCAACGTGCGTTTGTCCAACGAAGGCCCCCCCCCCAGAGCGACGCAGGCGGCACAACCGGGGCCGACGCACAAGCTGGCGTGCTGCCGGTGGAGATGCGCGCGAGCAGGGGGCGTGGCGCGAGGAGGGAGGCCCTGCCGAGAAGGTAACACTAAGCCTTCTTTGAGGGCAGGAGCCTTCTCAGAAGCGCAAGGAGGCGCCTGAGGCTTCTGTCAGGTCGGGCGTGTCCTCCGACAGGCGGATTATGGACGTAAAAAAAAAGAAGAAGTCAAAACAGGAAACCCAAAACAGTCAACAGATAGTGGAAAATAACGTCTCTGGACTATTGTTTGACTATCTTCGGATATTCCTCCTGTAGAGGGGCGTGCCCGATATAAGGCTTCTGCCTTCGCAAAGCACCCCCCCTCGCGCCACCCCCTTGCTTTGAGGGCACCGCCAGACACTGGACCAAAACACGTCCAGAGGATCCTCGAGACCTTTCACGAGCGGCCAACATTTGAGCAGGGACCGACCGTCCCGGCATTCCTATAGGTTACCACGACATGTTCTTAGAACCCAGAAATGTTCATGTGTTCAAACAAGACAGTCTCAGCCACAAAATCTTCTAAGAACATATGATGCACACCAAAAAAGCTTTAGGACATTCCCTAGGAGGGCCTATGGGCGAGCCGGGACGCCTCGCCACCGCTTGAAACCTATCCGCATCCGCTCCCCCGCGGCCCAGACTCGGGGGCGCGATCCTGCGGACGCGCGGCCGCACGGACACGTTCCGCGCGGGGCACCCGCGAACAGAAGACGCCCCGTATCCGCGGGGCCGCGGCCCAACGGCGCCCCGCCCGAGAGGCCGCGGATACGGACATGTTCTCGCCCACGGACTCGGGCATCCACTGGGGAAACCGAAAGGTACCGATACCGCTGCTCCCCGGACCTCTCCCAGGGCGCGTTCTGACCAGGACCCGAGGCGGATCCAGCGGTGGCGACGAGGGCCTCCCGGGGGGCCCCCCCCAAAAAAACGAGGAAAGGGTAGAGGCGTGGGTGATTACCGTCCCTCCTCCGATCCACTGACCGGGACCCGTTGGCATCGACCCTCGCCTCAAGGCTCCCGACGACTGCTCGCCCTCCCGTGGCCGCCCGCCCGGCCCTTCCCCCCGCCTCCGGAGGAGCGGTACTCCCGCACCCGCAGGCGGAGGCCGTCCGGCGTCTCCGGCCAGTCCCGCACCTCCCCGCAGCAGGGGGCAGGACCCTTCCCGCCAGCCCCCCCCCCGCCGCTCTCCCACTCCCGCCGCTGTTTGTGGGTGGGATCTCTCAGACTCTCCGCCGACTCTGGCGGTGTGCGCTGCGAGCAGGAGCGCGGCGAAGCCACGGGAAAGCGCGGCATGGACAGTGTAGCTCCGCACACGTGGCAAAGATTAACGTTAGGTCGGGCATGTCCACCTACAGTTTGGGCGATATATGAAATTCATTCCAACAAAAACCGAAATAAATAAAAATACCAACAAAAACCGAAATACTTAAAACATAATGTTTGAAATAGACCCCAGTTGATTTGTGACTATTTTTGACTACTTTTGAAACCGACCACTGAAATAGACCCCAGACTATTTTAGACTATTTTTGAACACTCCTGTAGAGGGACAGGCCCAACTTAATGTTAACGAGCATCCGGGCCCATCCCATTGTTTTCCGAACGAAATCCGCTCTGCGGTGCTGGCGCCACGAGAAGTCTTCGGCCTCTGGAGGCCCGTGCCCGGTCTCGGCACCGTCACAAGACAGCCCAAGACGAAAAACCGGTCCCACGGGATGGGTCGAGAGACCTCTGTTGGTCGACGACATGAAAAAATCATGACGTCGAGGATCTGGGTCTCCGACACCTGGCGCCTCCCGTGGAGCTGCCCAGCCCGGTATCGGCGGTGCCGCGCGATTTCCGAGGCCAGCGGCACGGCCCGGCCAAGAAGGGCCCAGGACGAGGAGGGGAGCAGGAGAACGAGGAAGAGAAGGACGACGAAGAGGCAGAGGAGGAAAAGGACGACGACGACACTGCCTGGGAGAAGCAGGGCCCAGGACGGGGAGAAGGAGAGCTACGTCGACGACGACGAGGGGAGAGCAGGAGAGCTACAACGGCGATGTCGGCGACAAGCAGGGCTCAGGAAGGGGGGCAGGAGAGCTACGTCGACGACGACGAGGGACGACCCCCAAGAGGCGCCCCCCGTGAAGGAAGAGGGGCGGGCCACCCCCTGACGACCATCCAGCTCGCTCCTCGCTCGCCGTGCACACAGGACCCTCTGCCAGACGCCAGACCTCTGCAGCTCCGGTGATTTTACCCCTCCTCCTCATCCCTCCCTCCCTCCCTCCCTCCCTCCATTCCTCCCTCTCTCCCTCCCTCCCTCCCTCCCTCCTCCCTCCTGCTCCTCCTCCTCCTCCGCCTCCTCCTCCTCCTCCTGCTCCTCCTCCGCCTCCTCCTCCTCCTCCTCCTCCTCCTCCTCCTCCTCCTCCTCCTCCTCCCTCCTCCAGCTCCTCCTCCCTCCTCCTCCTCCTCCTCCTCCTCCTCCTCTCCTGCTCCTCCTCCTCCTCCCTCCTCCTCCCCTCTCCTGCTCCTCCTCCTCCTCCTCCTCCTCCCTCCTCCAGCGCCCCACTCTCCCTCCTCCTCCTCCTCCTCCTCCTCCTCCTCCTCCTCCTCCTCCTCCTCCTGCTCCTCTCCTCCTCCTCCTCCTCCTCCTCCTCCTCCTCCTCCTCCTCCTCCTCCCACTCCTCCTCCCTCCTCCTCCTCCTCCTCCTCCTCCTCCTCCTCCTCCTCCTCCTCCTCCTCCTCCTCCTCCTCCTCCTCCTCCTCCTCCTCCTCCTCCTCCTCCTCCTCTCCTCCTCCCTCCTCCTCCTCCTCCTCCTCCTCCTCCTCCTCCTCCTCCTCCTCCTCCTCCTCCTCCTCCTCCTCCTCCTCCTCCTCCTCCTCCTCCTCCTCCTCCTCCTCCTCCCCCTCCCCTCCTCCGCCTCCGCCTCCCCATTCTCCTCCGCATTCTCCTCCTCCTTGTCCTGCTGGCGCTGGCGCAGGAGAGGGCTCAGCCGCGCCGGCTTGCAGCAACCGCGGGGAGAGGCAGCGAACACCGTGCGTCCCTTGGGCGGTCACCGTACAGCGGTGCTGAGAGGAGGAGGAGACGCTTCTCCTCCCTCCTGCCCCTCCTCCCCCCCCCTCTACTCCCTCCTCCCCCTCCCCGCCTCCTACCTTGCTACACACCAAGCCACCCCAACCCGACCCGAAGTCGCCGTTGGGCTAGCGAATTTCCCATGGGGGGGGACGCTCTAGAGCATCGACAAAACACAATGGAACCCGTACACGCCGGTCGGAAGAAGTAGTAGAAACATGAAGCAGGAAGGCGGATAAATTAGATTGGGTTCGGGCCCGCCCAAAGAATAACAAACAACAGCCATGCCAGATCGATCATTGAAGTAGGAAGGCTCTTGAAGCAGACTGGGTTCTGGGAATCCAGAAATACCTACTTTCAACGACCGATGGGTAAACCCCCCAACCCGAAATGTGGGGAGGGGTCTGGGACCTCGAGTTGGATTAGGGTGTTTTGGTAAGCAGTGGCTAGCTCACCCTGGCCCAGCCCACCTCCTGCATCCTCCCCCCCTTCTGCATACCTTCCCCCTCTTCGGAGGCAACTCATGGGAGCATCAGACACTCCCTTGCTGACTCTTGCAAATCGACGCTATTGTCGACGCTCAGTCGACACAAGATCGACGCTACGTCGACACTAATCGACGCTAAACCGACGCTAAATCGGCGCTATCTCATCGACTCCGAGACGCTCATCGACGATCATCGTCGCTAAAGACGGGATTACAGTGGAGGCCAGTCCACAAGAACCCTTCCACAAGAAGCCCGACCCTGAGACCCCAGAACGTCCCCCGACTCTTGCTGTGGTAACGTCACGCCCTCCGTCGCAGAACCACCGAAAATCCCGAGCAACCCGGGGCACCCTGGAGGCAGGCGGGGTGTTTCTCGGCATGGGCCTCCTCTGCAGCGGGGGCACACCGGGCTCCCATGCCTTGCTGCCGCGCCCGCCGCTCCGCGCGCCTCCCCCCCTCGCCCCGGCGGCCGGCCGTCCCCCACGCCCTGGCGGCCCGCCGCTCGGCATCCCCCCCCCGGCACGGAGCAACCGATCGACGCCTGAGGGCACTGGGGCCCGGACCCCGCGCGTGCCCTCGAGACCCGCTCTCCGCCCTGAGCCTTAATTATGTTGTTCCCATCCTACTTAAGGACCGCATCCCAGAAATCATTTCGAGCACCCGGAAAGGTGTCAAAAGAGTGTCGAAACAGTGTTGGAAGAGTGTCGGGCGAGTGTCTCCCAGGGCCCTCGGTATGTTTTGTTGGCGCTCGAAATTCTTCCTGGTGATCAAGGCTAAAGTAGGCTGGCGCGTCATAACCTGAGCCCTCTTCTCGCCATCGCCTTCCCCGGGACGCCGTTCCGGCAGCCAAGAAGCGGGCAGAGGGCCGAAGAGCAGCGGGCGGATGATTCAACGGAAGCACTGGCGCTGCCACGCGCCCCTGAGCTGCGCGCAGGACGCCCAAGAAGCTCTCCGTCACCGGGGAATCCTGGCCTTGGCTTTTCAGACTCGGCGGCGAGCGAGGGGGGGAACTGAGAAGAGAAGGCCTTCTCAGAAAGCTCGGAAGTCACCCGGCCTTCTGAGAGGTGTTCTAAGCCTTCCCCGAAGACACTGAAAAACTTCTCTGAAGGCGTGAGGATTTCTGAGAAGTCCCGCCACCTTCTGAGAAAGCCTCCTCCTTCTCACTTATCCCCCTCGCTAGCCGCCGACAGACCGTCCTGGGGCCCGTGGAGGGCCCCGGGAGGCCAAAAGAACCCAAAAAGCACGCCCGTCCCCCACAGGACTCCCCCGTCCCCCACAGGACTCCTTTCCTTCATGACCACTTCCCCTGAGGTCCGACGTTGCGAACAAGAATGCAGCGTCGCGGACAATCACGACCGCCTCCCCAGACCCCGTGTTTCTACCTCCTTTCCCGAGCGGAACCCATCTGTGATGGCCGTGGAGCCCAACTCTAGGCGTGAACAATTTGCGACGCCTGGATCTCAGGGTCCGCACCTTTGGTCGGCCCAAAAGGAAGTCTAACTGAACTGGGGTGGTGCAATAGGTTCAGGTCAATTGCATTGCATATGTATGGCGCCCGAGAGTTGTATTGCATTACATTGGATCTCATTTGCTGCACGTGTGCTGCACGCGAAAGCCCAGCCATACATCTGCGCACCCGAGTGTACTGCACGCCCCAAATCGATTACAACCCGACAAATTCTAGTGCACCAAATCTGTTCCACCACCCTCTCTCTTCGCTGGACCCCTCTTGAACCAACCAGAGTGCCTCCCCCTCCCCCCCCGGAGAGCCCAGAATCGAATCGACAAGTCGGATCGGCGATCGACATGAATCGGATCGACGGGAATCAGCAGCCGAGCCGGGAAGAGTCGAATCGGCAGACATCCGATGGCTATTGTTAGGTCGGGCGTGTCCCCTCCAGGCGGATTTTGGACGAAAAAAACAAATACGCAAAAAGTTCCCAAACATGGTTAAACAAAGTATAGAAAGATCGTTCCCTGACGATGTTTTAACTGTTTTGGAATATTCCTCCTGTAGAGGGACGTGCCCGACTGGAGGTTATTCTCTTGCACAGCTGTGCTCTAGAGCTGGGACATCCTTATTTTCGTCGTGGTTCGTGTTTCGTCGTGGTTCGTCCCCCTCGGCCCCTCCCCTGAGCCTGAGCCCCAGCTCCCCTCGGCCACCCCCCCTTGGGACCCCCCTCCGTCCAGGCTTCCCAGGGCAGCCCGCCTGAGCCGCGGAACCCTTTAGTTTCGCCGTGGCTCGTGGTGGTTCGTCCCCCTCGGCCCCCCCCCTGAGCCTGAGCCCCCGCTCCCCTGAGCCACCCACCCTTGGGAGCCTTCCTCCGTCCAGGCTTCCCAGGGCAGGTCCTTTATGCAAGAGCCAGGGCACGCGTGTCACTTGTTAGGCCTCTGTTGGGAAATCGGGTCCCAAATCGGAATCCGAAATCGAATCGAATCGTCATCGGAAGCAACCGACATCGCACCGAATCCAACCGGAGGAATCGAAACGAGCCTCCCCCCCCCGTTCTGGGCCTCGCGGCACCGGATGCACCGGCAGCTCTGGCCGCGCTTCTTCAGCTCGTCGAAGCCGCCGGGGCCCCCCCAGGGGCGGGGGCCCGCCGAGGCGAGCTCCTGTTCCTGGTATCCTCCTCCTCCTCCTCCTCCTCCTCCTCCTCCTCCTCCTCCTCCTGTTCCTGGTATCCCCCTCCTCCTCCTCCTCCTCCTCCTCCTCCTCCTCCTCCTCCTCCTCCTCCTCCCTTCCCCCTGTTCCTGGTATCCCCCCTCCTCCTCCTCCTCCTCCTCCTCCTCCTCCTCCTCCTCCTCCCTCCTCTTCCTCCTCCTCCTCCTCCTCCTCCTCCTCCTCCTCCTCCTCCTCCTGTTCCTGGTATGCCCCTCGTGCACGCCACAGGCAAGTCGCAGCAGAAGGATGCGCTGGGTGGGCGCCTTCGAGCGGGATGGGCTAGCAGAGGCCGCCAAGAGTGGGCCGAAGGGGCAAGGGCGCCAAGGCAACAGCAACCCGTGGTGACCTTTGCGCCCTCGCACCTTCGGGATTGAATGTGGTTCAATTACCACAGTCAGGCGGGGAGGAAGAACTTGCTTCTCCTTTTCGGGGAGATCGACTCAGACAGCCTAACATCGATGTCTCCGGGAAAAGCATGATCCCCCCTGGGCACCGAACTCTAGTATCCCCAGAGGACGATTCTCACCGGGATCGGGCTACCCTTGGAAAGTTGCTCATTCTTACTATGCGACTCGACTGCAGATTTCATGGGCCAGACATGCGAGGCGGGGATTTATCCATGTCCACCGCCTGGGAACCGACGTCCTGGTGCCCCAGCGGGCGGTGGATATGGATATATTTCGGCCCGCGGGGGCCCGTACATATCCATATCCACCGCCTGCCGAGGCTCCGAAAACTGACCCTCCAGGCGGTGGATATGGATAAAGTCCCGCCTGGGCCAGACAACGCACTCGAGGTCGCCCCCGAGGTTTGGTGGCCGATCGCTAGGGAGCTGTCCCGGAGGGCACCCCGAGGCGAGGCAGAAAAAGCGAGACGGCAGGAAGAGTGCGAGCGATGGGGGCGAGAGTGGGCAAGGGCAAGGGCGGCACGGGGAGAGGGGAAGCAGGAGCAGGAAGGAACGGCTTCGCTTGTCGGGGTGATTATTATGGGGTGGATTTTCTGCCCTCTACACCCGCGACCCACCCGCGACCCATCCGCGACCCACCCGCGACCTACCCACATTGGTTTAACGAAAAAATCGGCGCCTGCGGCGGGCTCGTTGTATAATTTGTGAAACTTTGGCGCCTGCGGCGGGCGTCTCCAGAGTCTCGCAAACTGCCGACGTCCCCACCGCCCCCTGACTCTTATCCGCATCTGCGGGGTGCCACGTACTCCTTCTCTGAGTATCGTTTAACCGATCGCCATCCCAAGCGGCGTGGTCTGGGCCCCACAGGCCGATTTACCCCCCTGGATGGGGATATGGGGCGTTCCCTTCGGGCTTCCAGGGGTGTATCCCCAACTGGGGAGGTAATCTGGTGGGGGTCTCGAAGGGGGACGGGGATGGGGATGGGGATCGGTGAGACGATACCGATTCTCCCTCCGAAGGGGAGGACCCTCGCGAGCGAGGCGGGCCAGCGAGCCGTGGGGGGGTGGGGGCCGGCAGCGCCGAGGCTGCTCCCACTGGGGGGCGCGCGCACAGCCGCTCCGCAAGGCACTGCCGGCTGGGTCGGGCCCGCGTTGCATCCTCGGGGGGCCTCGTCTGCCCCGCCGCGGCCCCGTCCGCGTCGCGTCCGTGCCGAGTGCGCCTCGGCCTGGTCGGATCCGCGCGGAGCCCGCGTCGAATAGCTGCGCCAAAAATCCGCGTCGAGTCCGGGTCGAGCCCGCGTCGGGCACGATCGGGAGCGGCCAAGAGGGGGGTGTCCAAGAGGGGGGGGTGCAAATCAGGACAGGCGGCATGTGCGCGGCCCAGCGGGGGGACCAGGGACGTAATGAAATAAGAAGAGGCGCCATGAAATCAGGGGAAATATCATGGCCCCCGCCATGATATCCACCCCCCCCTAGTCATCACCCCCCTCTTGGCCGCCCCTGGCACGAGGAGGGACACCAGCTTTGGGGGACAGGCCGGGCCCCCCGAAGGTGCAGCGCGCGGCGGGCCTTCCCCCTCCCTGCCGGGGGGCGAGGGCAGCGGAGGAGGGGGCCTCGAGGCGGATGCGTCCTGCGCGCGCGCGGAGCGCGCGCCGGGACGTTCCCACCCGGGCCGAGCCGACACGGGCACGCCCTCCTCCTCCTCCTCCTCCTCCTCCTCCTCCTCCTCCTCCTCCTCCTCCTCCTCGCCCTCCCCCCCCCCCCCCCCGCAGCAGCCGAAAGCCAAGGGGGCGGGGCCGGTGGGGCGGGAGGGGGAGGGGAGGAAGCGAGGGGGCCGGGCGAGGCGAGGCGCGAGGGCGAGGCGAGGGAGAGGGGAGGGAGAGGGGGGGCGGCTGGGGGGGGAGGGGGGGGGAGAGGAGATGGGCAGGGGAAGGGGGCGCGAGCAGGGAAGTGAGGAGGGGGAGGGGGAGGTCGAGCTAAGGAGGGTGGGCGAAGGAGTCGAGAGGAGCCCTGGGCGCCACAGCTTCCCGATGTCCAGCTCTCACCGTTCAGTCGAGGGTCTGCCCGACCCGACCCGATCCGCCCCGCCCGTTAGGGTCCGCCCGCACGACCCGACCCGCCCGATAGGGTTCAAGTGTGCTCGCTCCGGCGCGCCACACAGTTTATAGCCCCGCCCGCCCGACCCGACCCGCCCGTTAGGGTCCGCCCGATTTGACCCGACCCGCCCCGCCCGTTAGGGTCCGCCCGCCCGTTGGGGTTCACGCGTGCTCGCTCGGTAGCAGCAGGGTTGCGGTGCAGGACAGATGCCTCGTGGACAGAACCTGTCTCAGGTTCGTGTTCGAGTTGCCCGCCACGATGGACACCTCGGGGATGTCGCGGATGACGCGGTTCAGGCGGATCCACGGGTGGACCTTGCATGGATCCGTGGAAGAGGCGCGGGCCAGGAGAATGACGACGACGACGACGACGACGACGACGACGACGACGAGGACGACGACGACGACGACGACGACGACGACGACGACGACGACGACGACGACGACGACGACGACAGGGCGGCGGCTGCAACGGGGGAAAGATATGAGGATGATATGCGAAGGAGGAGCAGCACGGGAGAGCGGGGAGGGTTACCCGTCGGTCGGAAGAATCGGGTAGAAGCATGAAGTGGGACGGCGTTGAAAATAGATTGGGTTCCGCCCGCCCCCTGCGGAGGACGGAAAAGGTGAAGCCACTCGATCCTTGAAGCAGGAAGACGCTTGAAGTGAATTGGAATCTCGGAATCCAAGACTACCTACTTTCAACGACAGGTGGGCACGTAGGGGGTAGGGAGGGAGGGAATTTGGAACCCCGAAACGGTGCGGTGACAAACCGTGCGGTGACCTCGGAACCCCAAGAGATCTCACCGCACGGTCCGTCAACGCACGGTTTTGGGACCCTGGAGGCCCCTGTCGCCCGAGACGTCCTCGGAGAACGACCCGAGTCCCAAAACCGTGCGGTGACCCCGAATCCCCGCCGACTCGCCGCACGGCGTGGTCACCACCCCGTTTGGGGGGCCACGAGGGAACGAGGGGGGCAGAGAGGGAGGGAGGGAGGGAGGAAGAGGGCGAGAGGGAGGGAGGGAGGGAGGTTGAGCAGGGACCGACCGTCCCGGCATTCCTACAGTCCTACCACGAAATGTTCTTAGAACCCAAAATGCTCCAAGAACGAAAACAATGTTCTTAGAACATCAACCTGATGCGATAAAACAAGCCAGCACCAACCAGAAACGTTCGAAGAACACCTCGTTGGAACCACAAAAAGGTTCTTAGAACACTGTGTGGCAGGACTATCGGCGAGCCAGGACGCTTCGCCACTGCTCGAGGAGGGAAGGAGGTCAGGGGAGGGGGGGGGGCAGGGGAGGTCAGGAGGCAGGGCGGATGCCAAGGCCAGGCCAGGGCAAGAGGAAAGGAGGTCAGGGGGGCAGGCGCGGGGGGCTGGAAAGAGGCGGGAGGCCAGGGCAGAGGAGCGCCTGCGGCCGCGCAGAGGCAGAGCGGCGCGGGAGACCACCGGGCGCCCCCCGCCAGGGCCCCGCGGCGGCGCGGGCACGCCGCCCCGCGGCGCGGGCACGCCGCTCGGCGGAGGCCGCGGCGCCGCCCGCTGACAAAAGCCAGCAGCGGTCGGGGGGGAGGGGGAGGAGGAATGAGGAGGAGGAGGAGGGGGGAGGAGGAGGGGAGGAGGGAGGAGGAGGGAGGAGTAGGAGGAGAGGAGGAGGAGGGAGGAGAGGAGGAGGAGGAGGGAGGAGGGGAGGGGAGGAGGGAGGAGGGAGGAGGGAGGAAGGAGGAGGGGAGGAGGGAGTAGGGAGGAGGGAGGGAGGAGGGGAGGGGGTGACAGGAGGGGAGGAGGGAGGTGAGGGAGGAGGGGAGGGGGCGGGGGAGGAAGTGGGGGGAGGAGGGGAGGGGGGGAAGGGGAGGAGGGAGGGGGGGGGGGGAGGGTAGGAGGGAGGGGAGGGAGGGGAGGGAGGGGGAGGGCATGAGGAGGGGGGGGGAGGGGGGAAGGCGGAGAGGAGGAGGGGAGGAGGGAGGAGGGAGAGCGGGGGAGGGAGGGGAGGGGGGGAGGAGTGGAGAGGAGGGTGGGGGGAGGGGGGTGGGGGAAGGAGGGGCGGGGGGGGGAGGGAGGGGAAGGGGGTGGGGGGGGGGGAGGGAGGGGGGAGCGAGGGAGAGGGGGGGAGGGGGGAGGGTGAGGGGGGGGGGGGGGGAAGAGGAGGGAGAGGATGAGGGAGAGGGGGGGGGGAAGAGAGGGGGGCGGGGGAGGAGGGGGGGGTGTGGGGAGAGGGGAGGGGGGGGGGAGGGGGGGGGGGAGGGGGGAGGAGGGAGGGAGGAGGAGGAGGGAGGGAGGAAGGATGAGGGGAAGGAGGAGGAGGAGGGGAGGAGGAGGAGGGAGAGAGGAAGGAAGGAGGGGGCGCGCCCCTGGCCCACAAAGAAAGGCGCCTGGCCCAAGGTGCCCCCCCCACACACCCGAGGGGCGTGCCGTCGCCGACCGTTTCTGCATATCGCTGAGGGCGTAGCGACTGCTGCCGCCCCTCGGCTCGCTCGGGGACGGCCACGATGTGCTCCAGATGCCGCCAGCCCTTCTAAAGGGGCCCGGGGACACACACAAATAAATACACACAAATAAAAAGATTCCCCATATTTGTCCGTAGTTTCTGGGTTTTTGTCTTCCCCACCACTTCCCATATTTCCCATATGTTCTGGGAATCGACGATGAATTGTGTCTGTGTGTTTTTTCCCCTCCTGACCTTCAGGGAGTGTGTGAGTACGTAAGTTTCCTCTTCCAACCCCCCCTCGTTCCCTTCGGGGAGGGGTCTATCACTTCTCACTACTGGTAAGCACCCCCTCCTCCCGGCGACTTGCAGCCAACCAGGACAAATGAGGACCCCCCCACATCCTCCCTGTCGAAAAACAATGTGAGGTCCACTTTGGGGCAACATCTCGGGTCGTGGTTGGGGGGGGGGGCGCGAGCATTTTTTTGTGTTTTTGACAAGAGCGACGGGGGGTCCCACATAGTGCCGGCTGCGCTCAGGACCATCACCCCTGTCGAAAACAATACACCATGCACTTCGTGGCAAAATCTGGATCATGCACGGGCGCACCGCGATCACTGTGCATTGGCTTTTGACTGGGACGGTGGGGGTACTGACATATTGCCTGTTGTGTGCAGGCCCACCAGACACTATGATGGCCACCCGCCGCGATTGCGCACTGGTTTTCGACAAGGGTGGTGGGGCTCGACACGTTTCCCGATGTGTACTGCCACGTGCGTAGGTGCACCTGGCACACTCTGCGCGTTCCCTGAACGTGGCGCACCTGGCGTGGCAGGAGCATGCGCCACACATGGCGCACGTGGATCACGTGGCGCATATGCTGCAACAAAGCATGCCTGGCACGCTTGGGCCACAGGGGTGCCTGGCGCACATGGCGCGCGTGGCACGCGTGGCGCACCTCGCCCCAGCGTTGCGCACGAGGGATCTGCTTTGGTTCCCATAAGCTGTCCATCCAAAGAGGACCACTGAACCTTCTGCACCTCGGGTGCGACTTATGGGTTTAGAGGGCGGATGGGAATAAGCAAGACGGCTTGCGGACGGGGAGGGTGTCTTCACCCCTCCCCCTACCCCTTCCACTGGATCTGGAGGGGGGGGGGAACGAGGTGTCAGCGCGTCGTTTGGGCCTCGGCGAGAAGGACAACATAACTTGGACTCCTTGGGGTGGGGTAGGGGGGGGGGGGGGTGAGGCAAACGCTAAGTAAGTACGACCTTCATGTGATCGATCTCCTCCAAGATGGCCCCAAGATGGCCCCCGAGGCTCCAAAGGGTGCCCCAAGACGACCCCAAGAGATTCCTAGGAGGCCCCAAGGGGCCCCCAAGAGGCCACCAAGATGCCCCCGAGAAGCTCCCATCGGAGACCCCCGGGGCCCCCCAGAGGCACAACAGACGCCCCAAAGAGGCCTCGGCGAGATGGCCAAACTCATTGTGCGTTTCTGTTTCAGTAGGTTGAAGGGGCCCTGGGACACACAAATAAATAAACACAAATAACAGGATTCCCCATATGTTCCCATATGTTATGGGTGTTTGTCTTCCCCCCACTTCCCATAGTTTCCCATGTTCAGGGGAATCGACGATTAATTGTGTCTGTGTGTGTGTGTTTTTGTTACCTCCTGATATCCCCACCCCCTACCCTTGAACCTGGAGTGAGTGGGGTGGCGCGAGGGGTTAGAGAGTCCCACACGGCATCGGCGAAAAGAGGCCAAACTCACTGAGTTGACTGAGGTGTTGGCCACATGTTGGCATCCAAGGGGGGGGGGAAGGGGGGGGCAACGCGAATCAAGCACGACACCCACTTTGATCGATCTCCCCCAAGATGGCCCCCGAGGCTCCCAGGAGTGCCCCACGAGGGCCCCAGAGGGACCCCAAGAGGCGTCCAGGAGGCCCCAAGATGCCCCCAAGATGCCCGCAAGAGGCCCGCAAGAGGCCCCTAAGAGGATCCCAAGGGCGACCAACGGCGGACGTTATCCGTGTGTCCTCGCGGCCTGGACTCCGGGGCGCGGTCCCGTGGATGCGCGGTCGCACGGACACGCTCCGCGCGGGGCATCCGCGAAGAGAAACGCCCCGAATCCACGGGGTCGCGGTGCACGGGGCCTGGCCAGCGAGGCCGTGGATACGGACATGCTCTCCGACCAGCCCTTCCTCATTCTTCGAGTAGGGGGTTGATGACAGCAGTTAGTTAGCCCACAGTTGATTTTCCGTGGAATCTGCGAACGACTACGTAGAATGCTCCACGGAGCATTCTATGCAGTGTTTATAGACTCGGCGAACCAGTCAACTCTGGGGTAAATCACTTCTGTTGTCGATCCCCTACCTACTCGAATTCCCTGGGCTGTGGAGGGGTCATCGAGCTGTTCTTCGCCCCCTGGGCGGCCAGGCGAACCCCCGAACATCGCCCTGCCCTCCCCTGCCGAAACGCCCGTCCTCGCCTCGGCCTTGACGCGGCACAGCAGATCCACGAGGAGGTAAGGGTCCTTGTCGTAGTAGGGGACGTAGCGGCCCTCCTGCGGCAGGGCTGCGAGGCCGCTCCGGAGGGCTCTCGGGGCTCCCCGTGGGCAGCCGGCGCACGCCACCAGAGGAGCAGGACAGCAATCTCCTCCTCGTCCCACCCACATCGCAAAAGGTTCCTCCACCTCCTCCTCCTCCCACTCTCCTCCCCCTACCTCTTTCTCCTCCCTTTCCTCCCCACCTCCTCCTCCTCCTCCCTCCCTCTCTCCTCCCCCTCCCTCACCCTCCTACCTCCCCTCCACCTCCTCCTCTCCTCCTCGCCACCACCTCCTCCCCTCCCTTATCCTCCTCCCCTCCACCTCCTCCTCCTCCTCCTCTCCTCGTCCTCCACTTCCTCCTCCTTCCTCCTCCTCCTCCTCCTCCTCCTCCTTCCTCCTTCTCCTCCTCCTCTTCCTCCTCCTCCTGGGTTGCATTGCGAGAAAAACCTCGCTAATGCACCTCCGCGGAGTACTGAAGGATCAGCCTGGGTCGCACTGCGAAACAAAAGTCGTTAATGCTCCTCATGGCTGCTGTGGCTGGGCGCCCTGCAGATTGGAGGAGATCAAGAAGGAGATGGCGCAGATATTAAATGTGCTACGCAGACACAGGACAGACCTGGAAAAGGCAAGAAAAAAGAAGCTGGCAGACGAAATATGGAGGGCATACGAGAACAACAACTTCAGCGAGATGCACAGGTTCAGGGTGGAATACCAAAGGAATGGGAGGGGACCACAGCAGAGGTACTTTTTTCAGCGCGGATATGGTGGAGAACCAATGGACCTAGAAGAGTACGAGCAGGAACATTACGAGACGATAGCAGAGAAAATGCCGCTCCCATTGGATATGGAGTTGGAGGCCCAGGTAGAGGGGGACAAAAAGAGACATGCTGATGTACTGCAGGAAAGCGGCAAAGAGGAGGGTTTCCCCCCCGTGGGGAGTACCAGTGGAACTAACCTGGATGATACTGGAACCTACATTCAAACTGGAAGACCCTGAGCAGCTGAGCAAGAAGCTGGAGGAGCAAAATGCACGGGCGGCCGAGAAGCGAGATGACGCGGAAGACGTGGACAAGTACAGCTCACTCTACACAGGTACAGAGTGGGAAGGTCGATATTACAGAAAATGGAATGAATATCAGGCGCGGCGTGGGGCAGGACAAACAGAGACGACGATGGCGAAGCACTACCGGCGACGGAAAAAACGTATCACTGGGGAGATCTGAGAAAGCTGGGTCGGGATCGCCGGTGTTGGACAAAAACCTGAACATAGAGTGCAGGAACTAGCTAGAGGACATCCTCATCAAGTGCCGCCAATCTCAAGATACTCCCCATTTGACTGGCACAGGTCGGTTTCCTTCTCCGCAGGAGCAGGCCATTCAAAAAGGGGACTGAAGGAAAAGGAGCCACGCGCGCAGATTGCTCGAGGGGAGTGGCTTTTGGCAAAAGGCACCCATCACGAAGGGAAAAAACACCGAGGCACCCAATGCTGGGCACAGGGAGAGCTCAGAAATAGGTCGAGAGAGTAGGGGGCCAAGTGCGAACCCCACCCCTGCCCCCCACGACTTCTGAGGGGGAGGGTGGGGTTCACTTCGTTCGGGAGCTCCCGAGCGAAGTGAACCCCACCCCCCCCCCTCAGAAATCGTGGGGGGCAGGGGTGGGGTTCGTATTTGGCACCCTAGGGAGGACGCGATGACCCGCGCCGAAACTCTACGCAGTGGAGGGCAGGGCAGGCAGGAGCGGGCACCATCGCCGGCAACTGCGACTGGTAAGTCGGGCGTGTCCCCCTACAGGGGGACTTTGGGCGAAAAATTAAAAAATATAAAAAAAACCTCCAAAAATACCCCCCCGATGGGCGAACATAGTCAAACGATAGTCCCCAGACTGTGGTTTTGACTATTTTTGAATATTCCCCCGTAGAGGGACAGGCCCGGCGTAATACGACTGTACAAACGCCTTCGCGAGCACGAAGCGCAACCTCCGGCGGGCATCAGCCTTCGCCACGTCGAATAGGAGGAAGATCGACCCCTCGCTGTCGAGGCGCTACACTGCACGCCAAGGGGTACGGAATGCGCAGACGACTGGCTGCATGCAAGGACTACGCGAGAGGCGCAGATCGGATGTCGCTTGTGCCCAAGGCAGTTCAATGAGACACACAACCTCTACGTGGGACAATGGCACCAGGAAGAAAGGGACAGGGGCGAGACGCAAACAGCACATGGTACAGTGGACCCAGTCAACGAACAAGAGCACGACCTCTCGCTCAAAACACTGTCATGGGCGACAACACCAAAATCCACGCAGTGGTCTCGTCTGGGCCGACCCCACAGGAGACTGGATTTAGCGAGGTAATCTCGGAGCACCAGTTGGGGCTTGACGGAAGCGAGGATTTCTCGGCTCGCCCAGGCCCCCAGTTACATTCCGCTTCTGGCGGAGTCGAGGTTATCTCGGATCGCCGAAAGAGCCCACGCGAGAAACATTGCAGAGCAGATCAATGCCACCACGCAGCGCCTAGAGCGCAAGCTGGAGAAAGGAGGATGGAGCTCGGTTGCCGTTCGAGGACCTGGGCGAGACGGGACCACGCGACAGCTACAAAGAGAGAAGAGGATCGAGGGCACGACGCCGATGAGCGAGATGAGAGCATTGCGGCCAGACCTACCAGGAGATCAAGGATACGCGGGAGAGATCAGGAGGACGTGCGAGGCCATGCAGATAGCTTACAGACGATGTTGAAGGGGCCCTGGGACACACAAATAAATACACACAAATAAAAATATTCCCTATATTTCCCCATATGTTCTAGATTCTTGTATTCCCCACCACTTCCCATATTTTCCTATATTTTCTGGGGAATCGCCGATTAATTGTGTCTGTGTGTTTCTTTCCCTCTTGAAATATGGATGCTTCTGGCCTTCCGATACTACAGACAAAATAAAGAAGGATATGTTGTGTTCCAGGCACTTGTTTCGGGCACCGGCCTGAATGGATCGACGGCACTTGTGCTGGAGGTGCGTCGCTTGAAGGCACTCGACAGTACGATGACACTACTTTTGAAATGCATGGCAGGAGGCAGGAATAGCCGGGTAGAAGCAGATGGCACGACCAGGTGCTACGCCAACAAGGAGGTTTTCAGGAGATGGAGGATACCGCGCTGCTCGACAGCACTGAGGATACGCAGGCTACGGTGGCACAGACAACAGGCGAAATATCAAGAGGACGTTGGCAGTGCGTTGGCAGCAGTTTCTGGCGCGTCGAAGCTGGACAGCCTCTGCCAAATCAAGATATTGGAAAAAAAGATGGGCATGCGATGCATCTACGCCAAGGGCCAAGCAGGTGGCCCGGGATTTCCAGGCGCTGGCGGAGGTCAGCGAGGACGTCGGGAGCCGGTGCCCGAGGAGGCAGTCAGACATCTCACTGTTCAAGAAATGCACGAGAGATGGTGGAGAATGGATTGGGACGGACCCCAGCATCCTGCGCCGCGCGGGAGAGGCCTGGGACGCAACGCTACCAGAAATTACGGTGGGAGGCGAAGCAGTGGGCCAGTTTCGGCGCAACTGGGACACGGGGGCAGAGGGGCAGGCGCGCGGAGCGCAGTTCATTGCGGCGGCGGCGCTGGCGGGGCAGGAGAGCGGCGCACAGCTGCCTTCCGCTGACCCCCGGCCTGGCGATCACGAGTCCATGTCCACGGTGCTCGAGCTCTTTCGCGTCAAAAAAATAAGAGCGGACCATGTAATGAGAGCAACGGAGGGCCGCGGGATTTACAACAAATACTGGACCCCCCCTACCCTCGCCTGCATCCTCCGTGGATTCCAGACTCAATCCTTGGAAGACTTTCAGGTGCACGTGCGCTGCCACCGCCCAGGGCCGCTCTGCGCGCGAAGGACGGCGATGGCACCGCGAAGACTACCCCCGCCCGAACGAGGAGCGAGCGCGGAGATGGAAGGAGAGCCGAAGCACCGCGCGCGCGCGGCAAGGGAGAAGGAAAAGACCAGTGGCACGCAGAACTGGCCATCGCTCGGACGTCCATTCCCTGTGATTTTTGTTGGTTTCGTGCGAGGTTCTTTCGCCAGATGATCAACGATGCTCCTCGATGGTCCTCGCCGAAGGAAGAATGTACACGTCCGAGCGATGCCAAGAGAAGGGCCCAGCGCCAGGGCGGCGGGCAGCCCGCCGGCGGCCGCGGCCGCGGCGACGGGAGGAGGGGGCGGCAGAGGCGGACGGGGAGGGCGCAGACCCCCCCCGCCAGTCATTATGCAGCGGACGACTACGACGAATTCGACCTCAGAGGGTGCATCAACGGACTGCAGAGGCAGCATTCGACCTCAGAGGGTGCACCAGTGGACGAATTCGACCTCAGAGGGTGGACTTCAGAGGCTGGCCCTCAAGAGGGTGGACGAATTCGACCTCAGAGGGTGCACCAACGGACTTCAGAGGCTGACCCTCCGCTCGGCAGCAGAGATCAGAGGTATGAACCATATGACCTCGGACTTCTTTTTCATGCCAGTTAGCAGACGGGCGCTCCGGAAGTGGATGACAGCGGGGCAGAACTGCGGGAACCAGGTCAGGGAGGAGGGCAGGGGGCACAAGATGGGGCCGCCAGGCATCCACGCGGGGATGGCGCTCATGGAAGGCATCCAGGAGTTGGCGTCGGACTGGCAGAAGGAAGATCAAACGGCAGTACCAGCATCAATAGATCGAGAAAGGACACTCCGAACGACTTCCTGAAGCTGATGGAGGACAACAGCGAGCACAGCCAGGCCATGATCACAGAGACGATCAATATGCGCAAGGTCAGCGCAAGCTGCAAGGCGCGCAACAACAAGAACAGGAACCCGACCGAGGACGAGCAGGAGTTCTGGGAGGAGGGCCCAGACAAGATCCAGATCGGCATCAACGAGTCCCCCAACTTCAACGCGGCGCACCCGAAGGACATGATAGAAGACGCCATGGCGAAGCTGGACCAGTTCGCGGGCCGCAACCTGAAGATGGCGACGGGGATACGGATCGTCTACGTGGGAGGCAAGAAGTCCGTCGGCAACGCCAAGTCTCGGAGCTGGAGAAGATGGTAGCGGGAACTTCAGCGTCGGCGCCGCTCAGGACGGAAGAGGCGGCGGCATTGGCGAGGTTTTCTCGGAGTGCTGCACCACAGAGGTCAGAAGGGGCAAGTGCATTAGCGAGGTTATCTCGGGGGAAACAAAAAAAAAAAAACGGGGCAGAGAGCCTAGCCGCGGCTGAGGCGGACAAGCACTTACGCTGAACCTCCGACGGCGCCAGCATCACGCATTGAGAGTGCCGCCCCAGGGCCACCCCCCCCTAGGACAGTTGGGCATAGAAGGCGTGCCCAATAGCGCCGAGACAGTGCCCAACAGCGGATGATCACATAATAGCATAATCAAATCAGCATGGACGTTGAGCGCCCCACCAAGCTCAGACATGTCGTTCCAAATGGTGAGATATACGAAATGGTCCTGGTGTTCCGAGCAGTCCCAATCAAGCAACGACGTCGTCCACCATGACGACACGGTACGA